GGCCGGAGGCCCTGGAGGCTCCAGGGTCCCACCCTGCCGGCTCAGAGCCCAGCTTCCCAGGCACAAGGCCCGCTGTCCCCCCATGTGCCCCCATGTGCCCCCGGAAACGGCTTCCTTCGCAAAGACAGGAGTTCGCTGCTGCCAGTCCGGCCCCACTCCCATTCTGCAGGGAACGGAGGAGAAAGTGGGGGGAGGGGGACAAACTCCCGAGAGGGGGGACCCACAGGGGCTCCCCTGAGCCTCAGGGACGCTAGACCAGGCACACCTGGCAGCATAGTGGTCAGGAAGGACCAGCCCTCCTGGCATCTCCCTGGGAAGGGGTGAGGGAGAGGGGGGGAAGGAAAGCCATCTCAGTGAGGTTCCCCTGTCAGACTCCAGCGACTCTCCCGTCTGCTGATTAATCTCCTTGTTTTAACTTACATTAACTTACATTGATCCCATCAAGAGATAAAGGGAAGGTGCATTCTGAAGTATGCTGAGGGCAACAGGGTCTCCTGACAGACTGACTGGATGGATGGATGGATGGATGGATGGATGGCACCCCGGGCGGACGGACGGACGGACGGACGGACAGACAGAGGGAGAGGGGGGGAGGGAGGACGGGCCGGGGACGCGGCTCTCAGCGCCGTGGATGTGAGAGCGCAGACCTGCAGGAACATTTTATAAGCGCTTTTAGAATTTATTTGAGCCAAACCGGACAGCTACTCTCGGCAGACAGAAAACTGCCTGGGGAATGGACTCGCAGCCTCTTGGGTGCGTGTGGGGTTGAGGAGGGTTGGGGGGGGTCTCGCCTTCGCAGGGGGTCTGAGAGGCTCTCAGAGGCCCAGAGACCACGGCGGGCGGCCGAGGAGAGGTCACGCGTCGGGGCTGTGACCACCGCCACGACCTGCCCGTGAGGAATGTAGGGGCAAGTCCCGGGAAGGCGGCCGATGGTTTGCCCTCCCTGGGTGGGGGCGGCAGAGCCGGGGGCTGGGAAGCCCCCTGTGCACCGGCCCGCATGGTGGGGGCTCGTGCCCACACCCCAGGCAGCCTCTGGATGAGTGTGTATATATAGGACACATTCCTAAACATGGGATTACTACATCAAAGGGCCTGTGCAACTTGAAATTTTGATAAACATTGTCAACCTGCCTTCCTTACGTCCACTTCCGTCCTGCAGGCGCTAAAAACAGGACAGACAATGCAGACACAAAAGCAGTAAATGGCTGAGAAGTCAGAGGACATTATTTTATTATTATTTTTAAAAAAATATATTTTATTGATTTTGTACAGAGAGGAAGTGAGAGGGATAGAGAGTTAGAAACATCGATGAGAGAGAAGCATCGACCAGCTGCCTCCTGCACACCCCTTACTGTGGATGTGCCTGCAACCAAGGTACATGCCCTTGACCGGAATTGAACCTTGGGGGTGAAAACCAGGCCCCCGCCTCGGCCTGAGAGAGAGAGAGCTGGCCAGGGGAAGAAGGACATTACTTTGTACGTTACCAAAAGTCGATGCCATTCAGGTCTCTGCCCATAAGTTAACCTCACGGGACACAGTCACGGCCCGAGCGGCCCTGTCTGGCCGGTTCCCAGTTGGGGAGCTGAGTGGGATTCTGTGGCCCACGCAGCCGGCACGGACGTCTGCCCTGGGCGCTCCCGGTGAAGGAGCTGGAGACGGGCAGGGGGTCCTGGTGCGCAGGGCTGAGAGGTGGGAGCAGGGAGCGTGGGCCCGGCGGGCGGGTGCAGGTGGGTGGATGGGCGGCCAGACTGAGGTCAGAGATGACGCCTGGGTTTGGGGGGCTGGGAACCGGATAATGGTGGGGCCACCTGGAGGCTTTTGGGGGTGAAAACCAGGCCCCCGCCTCGGCCAGGTGGAGCTCATGAGAGGGAGGAGCCAGTCCTCCCTGACTCTGAGCAAATCATTTCCTCGCAGCGGCGGCCGTGCTCCCATCAAGTCTGCGGGCCTCCCCGGGCAAGAGGTGGGACAGAACAGGTCACCGTGGCGCCCAGCACACTGTGGGGGGCGGAGTGGGTGCTAGAATAGCCGCCGGGCCGAGGAAGGCGCCGGGGAGAGTGGGAGACCTGTCCCAGCTCAGTAGTCCCGGCGGGTGACACGGCCGCTGCTGTGGGACCCTCTGTGGTCGGCGCCCGCGGAGCTCACAGCGAAGGGAAGGAGGCGGTGGACACAGGAGGGTGCTGGCAGGAGCATCGGCCCCTCACACGGGGGGTTCGCTAACCTGTCTTTGTTTTTATTGATTTCAGAGGAAGAGAGAGGGAGAGAGAGAGAGAGAGAGAGAGCTAGAAACATCAGTGATGAGAGAGAATCATTGATTGGCTGCCTCCTGCACGCCCCACACTGGGGATTGAGCCCACAACCAGGGCATGTGCCCTTGATTGGAGTCAAACCCGGGGCCGCTCAGTCCAAGGACCCACGCTCTATCCACTGAGCCATACCAGCCAGGGCTGTCTTATGCCCACCTGCCCTGGCTGACTTCCCAGTGGGGTTGGGTCTCAGTCCTGGACGCCCTCTTCCCTCCTGCAGACCTGAAACCGCAGAAGATGCAGCGTGCAGACCGCCTGCCCCTCGTCCTGCTGGGACTGCTGGCCCTTTCCCACGGTGGCCGGGGTCAAGCTGACGGCCCCCAGGAGGGTCCGGGCGCTGAGGAGGTCTCCCCCAGCCTCAAGATCGCCCCGAGCAACACAGCCTTCGCCTTCAACTTCTACCACCTTGTAGCTTCCCTCAACCCCGGGAGCAACATCTTCTTCTCCCCCCTGAGCATCTCGGCCGCCTACGCCATGCTGGCCCTGGGGGCCCGCGAGGACACGTGGGCCCAGATCCTGCAGGGCCTGGCCTTCAACCTCACAGACACGTCGGAGCCGGACGTCCACCAGGGCTTCCAGGACCTGCTGCACACGCTCCACCGCCCCCACGACCAGCTGGAGACGCGCATGGGCAGCGCCCTCTTCCTGAGCCAGGGCCTGCCGCTCCGGCCGCGGTTCCAGAATGACACGGCCGCCTTGTACGGGTCCAGCCTGTTCCCCGCCGACTTCCTGGACTCCGAGGGCGCCGCCCAGCTGATCAACAACCACGTCAGGAAGGAGACCCGCGGGAAGATTGACAACTTGGTCAGCGGGCTCAGCCCCCAGACGGTGATGGTGCTGGTGAACTACATTTACTTCAAAGGTAAGCCAGCCCGCTGGTAGATCCCATACCCCCGTTAAGTTATTAATACAGTCTGTTTTTTTAAATACATTTTTATTGATTTCAGAGAGGAAGGGAGAGTGAGAGAGAAAAACATCAATGATGAGAGAGAATCACTGATCGGCTGCCTCCTGTGTGCCCCCTCCTGGGGATGGAGCCTGCAACCTGGGCATGTGCCCTGATGGGGAATCGAACCGTGACCTCCTGGTTCAGACGATGCTTTAGGTAAAAGGAAGTGGATGGGCTGGGCCGATAGGGCCAAGCGCCCCTGAGAAGGTTTATGGTTTTGTCCGGTGGCTAAGATTGTGGAGTACTGTGGTTTCCGTCTCTTCACGCCTTTAGACTTTCTTTCTTTTTCTTTGAATGACAGTGATTTATGAAAGGCGTTGTAGCCAAGGATCGCGAGTTGAATGTCTAAATTTGTATTGAGCCCTAACTGGTTCGGCTCAGTGGATAGAGCGTCGGCCTGTGGACTGAAAGGTCCCAGGTTCGATTCCGGTCAAGGGCATGTACCTTGGTTGCGGGCACATCCCCAGTAGGGGGTGTGCAGGAGGCAGCTGATCGATGTTTCTCTCTCATCATGGATGTTTCTATCTCTCTCTCCCTCTCCCTCTCTCTCTGAAATCAATATAAATATTTTTAAAAACAAAGGAATGTAAACTAAAAGAGAAAATTAGAATTGCCTAGCCCTGTACCACCCTGAGGCAACGAATGTTAACACTTTAGCATAATTGTTCCCCGTCTTTGGCGCGCACACGCACGTACACACACACACACATGCGCACGGTTGGAATCCCTGTGCGGGCAGACTGTTGTGCAGTGTGTGTGCCA